GGCTATTAAAACAACATAGTTTAAAATACCATAGGTCCAATTTTTACCAATATGTCCCCCAAAGCAAGGGACATAAAGGGAAGAATAAATAAACGGGACCTCATCAAATTAAAAAGCTTCTGCATGGCTAAAAAAAAAGCATTAAAATGAAAAGAGAACCAACTACATGGGAAAACATATTTGCCAATGATACTCAGACAACAGTCTGATCTCCAAAATATACAAAGAACTCACCTGAACTCCACTTCAGGAAGACAACAAATCCTTAAAAAATGGGCAAAGGACTTGAACAGACACTTTTCCAAAGACGAGACATATGAAAAGATGCCCAGAGACATATGAAAAGATGTTCAGTATCGCTAGCTATCAGAGAGATGTAAATAAAAACCACAATGAGATACCACTTCATACTGGTGAGAATAGCCATCATAAACAAAGCAACAAACTAGTGTTGGTGAGGATGTGGAGAAAAGGGAACCCCAGTGCACTGGTGGTAGGAATGCAGACTGGTGCAGCCACTGTTGAAAACAGTATGGAGTTTCCTGAAAAAACTAAAAATGGAACTACCTTTTGACCCAGCAATTCTACCTCCAGGGTTATAGCATAAGAATCCTGAAACACTAATCCATATGAACCTATGCACCCCGATGTTCATAACAGCACAATTTACAATAGCCAAGTGCTGGAAGCAACCTACGTGCCCACCAGTAAATGAGTGGATCAAAAAACTGTGACACATTTCTACAATGGAATACTACGCAGCAGAAACAAAGAAGGAGCTCCTACCCTTCATGGGGTGAAACTGGAGAGCATTATGCTAAGTGAAATAAGCCAGGCAGTGAGGGACAAATACCATATGATCTCACCTATAAGTGGAACCTAATCAACAAAACAAACAAGCAAGCAAAATATAACCAGAGACATTGAAATTAAGAACAATCTGACAGTAACCTGAGGGGAGGTGTGGGGGGAGGGGGTAATGGGGGGAAGCAGGGAAGGTTTAGGGTTAGGTTTTCAAAGGAATAACTGGTAGTCTTGAGGAAATAAATACTGTTTGCAACACAACAGTCTTGGAGGGTATGTCACAGATTTACCTCTAAAATTTAATAAGGCAAAGTACACACACAAGTTAACCTTCCCCCAAATGAAAGTTCTCTATTCTCAAAATGCAGGTCATTTTTCTCCCAATTTGTATGATAAGTAATCTAGTTTTTAATTATATAAAGAAGTAAATCAAGCCCTGGCTGGTGTAGCTCAGTGGATTGAGCGCGGGCCTGCAAACCAGACAATCGCGGTTCGATTCCCAGTCAGGGCACATGCCAGGGTTGCAGGCAGGTTCCCTGCAGGCCAGTTCCCAGCAGGGGACGCATGAAAGGCAACCATACATTGATGTTTCTCTCCCTCTCGCCTTCCCTTCCCCTCTAAAGATAAATAAATAAAATTTAAAAAAAAAAAGAAGTAAATCATATAGATTATACAATCGTCATAACATCACATACTTTGCTAAGTACAATCTATAAGAAATAGTAAAGCAAGAGAGATCTGTAAATGTAATTAGTTGTAAGTTGGCAAATATCCAACTAAGAAATTCATAGGAAAAGACAGCAGAGGGTCTCAGAGAGTCCAGCTTTCAAATGTGATCTCAGCCCAGTTGTCACAGGGACACCAAATCCTTTTGTTGGTGGTTAACAGGCTGTCTCATGTGTGCGGGGCACTGGCACACAACAGTAGTTATGTTCTACCTCACAAATGACTATACTTCATTGAGTTTATGCTGAGTAGGGCAGTGTTTGCAAACCACTTAGATTCCAGGATGGAAAGAGCTACAAAAATGAAACATGCAGTCCTTCTCTGAGGTTTGTTATTAGCCTCTGTTAGCCACAGGTTACAGGGCACTAAACACTACACACTGTGTGTTTGCTCATAACCACTATGAAAAATAGCCTATAACATCTTTCTGAAGACTCCTACAAAATTTTAAGGTAACTCAAAATCTGGGAATTCAACTGGGATATAGTTCAATTCTTAGAACTAGTTCTTATCAAAAATATCTCATTAATTCTTTCTTAGGTATCAATTCAAGTTTGTTTCAACCCATACTAATCAACAGATTATTACTAAAGCTTAATGCTACTGGGGGGGGGCAGTAAAAAGGGTAAAATAATCAGTTAAGTTAATTCCCAGACTGCAAATAAGCCTCTTCGTGGATGTTAAGAAAAGATTTTTTTAAAAAAGATTGACTAGCTTAATAGCCCAGATGGCTTTAAGGTTATTCTTGCTATACCCAACATATAAGCTAAAAAAACTAAAAGAAATCCTAATAATATAATTAAACTGATACCCTGAAAACAGCTTATCAAAATGTTATTTATTTAAGAGTGCTGTTCTGCGGCACATGCACTAAAATCCAAGGAATGCGTGAGACAGGCTACATACAGCACCTTCAACAACTCTAGAAACAGTATTTACCCACTTAAAGAATAATTATATGATGATATAAAGTTATTACATATATTAAAATGTATTAGAATGTTTGTGAAAGCATTGTTCTTAAAAGTAACATTTCCCCCAATTTATGGTAGTAAATTACAGTTAGAGCTTCTCTGGCCTTAAAAAAATTTACACATATTTTAACAAAAGAAACTACTGGTAAATGTACTTTATGTATTTTACATAGAATTTAATTTAGTATCTCTGGAAAGCAGAGAAAATTTATTATATTTTCATTAATTTCTGACAAGTCATTTTATCACATCAGATTTAAAAGTTTCCAGAGACAATTTCATGAAAATGTTCATGAACTTCTCAGTATATTGTTGTTTAATAAAACATGTTATATGCTTATAACATTCACAACTGTAAAATATAAATAACATAAGGCACCACAAAGAGAAAAGAGACATGTACCTTTAAGAAAGAAATCTTATGTTGACAAGTTCTAAAACAGAACATAACATTCGCTTCCTCCCAAAATATGAGGTACATTAGAAGTAAACAGAGAAATTTTACTATACTCAAGTACTCTCAGAAAAGATGGAAATTTCTGAAATTTCTACAAATTTGACCACTAATGCCTACTGATTACGAGTAGATATGTAGTAGCATAAAACATGCATGTACAAAATGATTTGAGGGAACGGTCATACAACACTGTGCGTGTACTAAATACCACTGGTTATACGTACTTTTAAATGCTTATTTTGTATTATGTGTATTTCATATCAATATTAATTTTTTTGTGACACCACAATTTTACAATATTAACAAACTAAATAATCTCAATATATCAAATAATAAATTTTTTAAATGATTTGACATATGGTAAAATTGAAAGAACCCAATGTGTGAATGTTATATTTCCCTAAATTTTAAGGGGATTTATTAAATGAATTTTATATTATTTACCCCAAGATGTATAACATCGTCCTGTTCTCCACTAATTCTAGCTACATCTATAAACCATAAAAAAATATTCTACTTGACACTCAGAATCAGATATCATAGGAAGGTTGACTAATTTTCATTTTTTTAAAAATCTAATTTTTATCCTTGAAAATATATTTTAATGGAGCAAAGAAGAGACAGATTGTTATTTTCAAATCCCATTTTACCAAGTATGTGAGTGAAACAAGGACTGTTGATTCCCAGTTTTTATCTGGCAATTTTTCTTTACCTTAATATCCACTTTAATCATAATCAGTTTAAAACAAAAAGTTAAACAACAATAATAAAGCCAGAAACTAAAATGTAAGATGTACGTTTTAAAAGAAAAATGAACACGTATAAAATATCAAGTCATATGGTCACAAGTAGAAATGTCAAATGAGCAGACAGACTTTTTAGGAGACAAAGAACAATGTAGTAGAAAAGGCAAAGAAGAAAGAGTTCCAAGAGCCCAATCTATGTATCAATAATATAAAAAACAAAACTCTTGGACCATTATAGATGATTCTGCAGCATATGAAGCCTTATATCTGTTATAAAATAATTCAGATTCTACTTTCCATCAAAAATTAAAGCAGGGGCGGGGGAGGCTGGGATGGGAAAAACAGACAAAAAACTGTACTTGAAAAATAACTAAATAAAATTAAAAAAAATTAAAGCAATAGTATTTAACAATCATCACACTTCATAAAGAAAAGTGCTTAACATTATCTGTCTTCGTCTTCTACATTCACTTCTTATGAGCAACACAGTTCCACATAACCAAATTATGATTCTCCCACTGAAAACCTCAAACTCCCCCAATGCCTCATGTTGATGTGAAAAAGGCATACTAATTAAAAATGAGATAAAAGGCATAAACTAATAGCATGTCCATAATTAACGTTTTAAAGTACACTATTACCACACTCACTGCCTATCTGTAAAATAATTTAAAAACATAAGTTATGTCTATATAAGCTCATTTTGCCAAATACTTTGTTATATAATATATACATCTCCTTAATATATCCATCTCCCTGTGAAAAGACATCATTATCATATTAAAATATTGTATGTGCTTCACACATACAATTAGGAATAGTTTTCTGATATGATATACTGATATTTCTATTAAATCTTGATAACTATAAATATTTAGTAGACTAGTTCTTAGCAAAAAATATAAACATATAAATATGCCTTTTGTCCTCACGACTTAAAATGAAATTAAATTTTCCCTTTCTATATTGTTCATTCGTTCAGCTCACATATTTTGAAAGTAGTCATTATGACGAAGTCAGCTAATATGAAAATATCGCCTATCACTCCATTTTCTCAACTGCTGACAATACCACCTTGTACCACAAGTAGTATATGAACATTAGTCACACGGGTTCCTTGACCCAACTCATCCCAAACATAATCTGGGGAAGATGAAACCAAAGGATTAGCACAAATACAAATGGTCTCTGTACTTATTAGAAACCATGTCAGACCATGTGTGTGGACCCAGCTGCGTGTGTTTGTGATGGAAGTATTTCCTGTATCAGAATAATCTCAGAATAATGGCATACCTGTGCTCCATAGATATAGTTATCCAACATTTTGCCTCCTATTGTCTGCCCTCCTATATCCCAAACTTGAAGAGTAACATTCAAGTTTCCTAGAACATAAAAAAGTATATGTAAAATTAAGATTACAAAAAAAGTTAAGTAACAATATAACAACTAAATACAGTTTCACAGAACACTAAATCACGACAAGAACCTCTGAACCGACAGTAATTTGCCGTTTAGTCTGCAGTTTCAAATAGTCAGATATCTGGAACTACGAAGTAATGTTATCAGAAGAAATCATAGCGGAAATTTAGGTTTATACTTTTATCCCATTTCCATAGAACCACATTTATAATCACCTTCAAAACAAAAGAAAATAAAGCTTTAATTCATAAATTCCTTAAACCTTAAAAAAATCTTAACCAGAAACTAGAACAATAAAGTACTTGTACCTAGAGTAAGAAATATACCTTAAAAATAAAAATTGAACTTTATATACTAACCTACCTTGTTACACATAATGGATTTTGACGTTAAATTAAATACTCTCAAGATTCTAAAATCCTCGGAATGATAATAGACGACAAAAATGGCCCTATAGTTTCAACTTAAATGAATGGATTTTTAAAATTTGAATATCAGCTATTACATGTAGTAGTATACATAATAAAAAACTACATATTTTCTTATTTAACTTATGAAATATAAACACTTTTAATCCCCTCTTCAGAAGTGAGGTAGGATACATCCTCCCTGTATCACTAACTATTCTGACGTACTTATACCTGTTCAAAGCATTTCCAATGAAACAAATTATAATATGTGCTTCCACGATTTCAAAAAAAGCATTGTCAAATCCTTTTCCATATGTAAGCATTATAAAAGCATTCTAAAGTACAAAGAAATCTTTAAAACTGTTTTGTTCATTTTGTAAAATATTTAATTGATACAAAAAATTTATGAGATAAGCTACTCTATTTAAAACAATTAATGACTAAAAAAAGATCACACTCAATATAGTGTGATTTTTCTAGTTCAGCTTTTTAGTTCAACATTTCAAATTATTCCTCCTAATAAAATTATGTAGTTTTCTCCACAGGGAGTCAAAGTCTCAGCACCTTCAAAATGAGCTCCCCCAACAAAAACTGTATCTTTCTGCATGACTTGCAAATTAGGAAAATTCAAAATTAAAACTTAGAAACTTAAAAAATGATCTCACTTCAAAAACCAAAAAAAGGACTATACAGTTATGAATTTTTATACCAACGTAAATCAGAGACTGTTAGTCACACCACTCCACTTTGCAACTAACACTGGGATAAGCAGCCAAGTTTCACCCTTAACTCTAAGTGCTGATGGGTCCGCATCACAACCTTCCCATCACTGATAGGGATGGAGGTCTGCTGCATCAGCATTAACGAGGGCTCTGAAGTTTACCACCCATCCTCACCCCAACACACGTACTTTCAACACTCACACAGGCATGACGGACATGTTCTTACAGCTCTACGAACACGAAAACCAAAATGTCACAGACTAAGACTTGTCCAACAACTTGCATAAACCTAATTCCCTAAAAATCTACATTTTTCAATATTCAAAGCTGAAATTATCCCCCTCTAACGCTTCTCAAATTAAGCAGGTGAGATAGGGCTAGCCATCACTAGAATTACATAAAATACTTTCAGAAGCCCTGAGATAAACAGGCGTACTCTATTCATTTTATTTGCAAAACTCTTTATAATCATTTGTTTACTTCAAAAACAGTGTTCGACAATATCAACTTCTTTAGAGTAAGATTTTAGGCAACTTAATAAAAGGCACCTACTCCCATTTTTTTTCAAGGACAATAAACTCTATCACTTAACTTCCCGTCAAGAAATGTGAAACTTTTTCCTTTAAGTTCTGATACTCAGATCCCAACTGAATTAAGTGTTGTGACTACTTCAACCACAACGTTAGGAACATGATTTTCACTACATTTTCAAATTCTGACAACAATCAGCTGAAGACTCTAAATCATTTATTCAATTGTTTCCATCTAAGAGGTTTGTATTTACGTGTTGAGGGTATTTTTAAATCCATACCTTTCCAAATAAACACGATTTCTTGTGGTTGGCTTGTTTACTTAATATACATATTCTAGTGCCTCAGAAATAAAAACAGCTATGCATTACTGACAACCTATTAATATACAATGCTAGCCAAAAAAAACACTTTAATATCATTATAACCCCAACAAATATGAACTTTATAGGTATTTCATATATCAAGAAATATATTTTTAATTTCCATATTTGAATTTGAGTCTTATTAACAGATAAAAATGAAAATAAATAAAATTACATAAAGATGGAATTCAAATCAACATTCATTTTAGTTTCCACAGGCATAAACATGAAGTTTCCCAGCATATTTTTAAAATGGCATATCTTGTAAAGTTATATAAAAGTATTTAAATAACCAATATTGCAAAATTTTTCAAAATCAAGAATCTAATTTTCTAACTAAAAAAAGTTATAATTTTCAGTAATCTAATCCCAAATGCAAAATGCTACAAAATCCCTGCTTCTCTGTGAGAAATGACACGTAACTAGAGAAAAATATCAAATAAAATAAATGAGGTGGCAAAATACAGGTAAGTTGCTTTTGGTATGAATCAAAGCCACAAAGAGGATTCAACAGTGACCTTGTAAAAGTACACTTGGTGCCTTGGTTAACCTTACTTAAAGTGCTGCATAGTCAAGATGGAACTAAAAACACAAGTCTGCCCACTTCTTGTACTGAAGACTTAGAAATCCTTCTCACAGCAGAACGCTGTTTACTGGACTGAACCCACAAGCTTCCTGAAAGTATTTTGACTAAGGCTCTTAAGAAGCTCTATCAGCAGAATCTCTGACTAACAGATACACTATTTTAAGCAGTAAAATCTGCACAGTGGTTGCATCCAGACTATACAGCATACCAGATCATGAAATATACTAAAATGGATGAGTATTTGCAAAGTAATGACCTTGAAAATGTGTGTGGAGAGAATGTGACTAGATAGACAGGAGGTATTACACTGCTAACAACTGAATGGACATAAGCGTTACTAGAGCACTAACGAATATTAGATTTGACTACTGTGCTGCTTTACTGTAACTCCAATAGTGCTACCTGCAATATTTAAGTAAATGATACAAATACTGATCATCTTACATTTAACATTTACAATGTATTAAAATTAAGACTAAAGTATATTAAGGATGTACTATGTACTTTGTAATTTATTCACTTTTATTTCTTAATGTATCTATTAATTACATAAAATCAAGATACATTAAAACAACTTTTTCCTACTGAAATTTCTATCAGAATTCTAAGTCCATTAAGTAACATAAAACCAACTGCCTTTTCAAAAAAAAAATACTTTTTTTCTGGAACTCTGCCCATAAAAATAAAACTTAATGAGGAAAATTAAAATATACATTCATTGAATACATAGTTCCTAATGTTTTTACATAATTACTTTATAACTCTAAAAATTATACTATAAGTCTGGATTTCAAAAATACCAAATATTTTTGCAAAGTGATCAAAATAAAAAAACTGGCAGTATTGTGCAACAGATCAGAAGTCATCACATATATTAAATATATAAAATGTTCAAAACAAGTCTTAGAATGTGTTTATTATTTGAGTAGATGCTTGCTCCTTTATTTAAGTCTTTGAATGAAAAAATCAAAAAATTAAACAATATTAATAATATAGAAAGATGGTACTTTTGTTAATTAGCATCAACAAAAAGTCAATAACTAAATACTTAATGAAGTTTTCTGTGTACTACTGGCATTTCTGAAAACACCACTGTAAAAAAAGTTTTAGCATGTATATTATGTGATTTGTGCATGTATTCTGGTGACTGCTGCAAATATGAATTTGCCAGTAACCTATCATAAGAGTGAGATTAATAAAAATGAAATTTTCAGTTTTGAATATATTAAAATACAAATGAAACTAAATATGCATTTGTTTCTCATTTAAACCTGTTGCTTAAAATAATCCATAAAGGAAAATTACAATTATTTTCTCATATTCTACCTTATTTTCCATTGGTAGCTAAATAAATACAGACCATCACAAAACATAAGAGTATATTACTAGTAAGCTATGCAGAATACCTTTAGTTACCAAGAGTTTTCCTGAGCTGCTCTACAATTTTCATGTAGAGCTATCTGAGAGATGGGGTATCTGAGAGATTCTAATCTTTTAATAGTGTTGGATTTTATTAAACTCTTTACACTATCACTCATTTTCCAGCATATGATTCTGACACTACACTTGCAACTGTTTTTATTCAAATGGATCTCCTCAGAGAGGAGAGGGATGTACTGGTTTACAAGGTCAATCTTATCCTTACAAGGATAAACTGTTTTTAATAAAATTCTTTAAACATATAATTTAACCACCACAGTGAATGGACAGAGCATTTTAAAGCCCCAATTGTTCGGAAACTAACTTAAAACAGAAACCACTCTTTTTTTGTTATTATTTCCCTGTATTTCCCACAAAATGTGCTGCAACTGGCATCTAAATAGTTTCTTTGCATGGTGAACTGAAACATCTTGAATGCTCAAACTGTATTTTTATGAGTGCCTAGGGACCCTAAATTTTAGTGGTCTATTAAATGCCAGCAATTTCATGCTGCCTTGCATAAAACAGCATTCACATATTAGAGCACAGAAGTTCCATAGCTACATTATACTTCTGGTCCAACTTTCAAACAAAAAAACCTGAAGCAGAGGCTTAATCAAAATAGTATTTTAAAAAATAATCCTTTCTAGTCTTTTCCATTTAGTTTATACAGTATCTGTTGATAAGTATATACCATCTGATTTCTTTATAATGTTACAGAATTTTACAAGCAACTATTGTTTATCCTTCAAAAAATCTGTAGTAGTCAAAATCAGTCGAGTGGAAGAGTATTCACATAAAAACTTCATTCCCACACAGGAACAATGTCTTCATGGTTCATGCTGATGAAAGTTAGCCTCCCTAAGATAAATTTACTGATTACATGTATTTTTGTGTAGAAGCAACCCCAAAATTTATTTCACATGTCTGCCTATGTCTCTTATTGCAAAACATGCACAATTTTCTTCGTTATACTTTCAGTCTCTTACCTGGCAATGTTATCCTTCTCAAAAAGAAATCCAGTCCTACAGTTTGTTTGTACTGTTTCCCAAAAGTTTCTTGAGCAAAATAGGTAGCTAAGGAGGTCTAAAAAAATTAATGCACATAATATCAAAATTAATGACTTGTCTTAGAAATATAATATCACTACTAAATCTTATTAAGTAATCTTAATGTTCACACTCCCATTAATCCAACAGCTTTAAGCAGCTCTAATCAGTTACCAGGGGAGGAGGGACTTAATGCTCCACCAGGTAAACATCACTTGCCAAAGGCAAGCAGGAGGACAACAGACTAATCAGTTAGATCTCTTTAAATCCCCTGTCAAGCTCCTTCACCTTGCTGGACATTAGAATTTGAAACTTATCATTTAACACAAAAGTATCCTGATAAAAGATCTGAATCTTATATCCATATATATCAGTTTAGTTCAAATTTCAGAGAACTCTAACTTTCATTTCTAAGATTAAATATTTTGAGTAGTTTGTGCCCTCAGCCAATAATAAGAAATGATTAAGGAGGGGGAAAGCCTGTTTATATCATTTCTTTTCTCCCCTGCAAACCACAAGAAAAGTATCATTATATACCCAGTTTTTTCTCTTTATTAAAGCTGTTAAATGAAAGTAATTCTATAGAATGACTGATAATATGCAGCTTTTTTAAAAGTCGGTATTTTTAAGATTAATATTAAGCAGGCAAAAATTAATTATTTTCCACCCATGAACTATAAAGCTTAAAAGTCATAAAAATATTATAACCAGAACATATAGATACAGTATTTGCATTTTTATTAAAAAAACAACTCAAATACTAAAAAAACAAGATAAATACCATATGATCTCACCTTTAACAGGAACCTAATCACCAAAACAAACAAGAAAAATATAACCAAAGACACTGAAATTGAGAACAGGCTGACAGTGACCAGAGGGGAGAGGGGAGGGAATTTCAGGGGAAAAGGGGAAGGGTTTGCAGGAACAAGTATAAAGGACACATGGACAATAACAAGGGGGGGTGGAAATGGGAGGGAGGAAGGGAGGGTTAGGGGGGCTGGGACAGGGGTAAAAGGCAGAAAACTACTTGAACAACAATTAAAAATTTTTTAAAAACTCAAAACTGTATTCAAAACTCAAAGGCTTTCTTTTTAGAGTACCATTTCTTATTAAAGCAAAAGAATAATTAATCATTCTTGGAACAACTGAAATAAGTCAACTTACAAGCTTCTTAAACACTTTAAATTCACTACTCATAAACTTTCCCAAATAGAAGAGAAAGGCAGCCCCATGAAGCTTTTATGCTCAAGACAGACTACCAATTTAAGGAAAAATAGCACTTTTATTTTAAAAGTTAAAATTAGATGTCAACTTCTAAAATACTTAAAATTAAGATAAAATTCCCTACACAGTGTATCATAATTAATTTTGAAATAAGTTCAGCAATGCAAAAGAAAATGACCAAATTTCAATTCTTTTAAACAAAAAAGACTTAAAATTCCTGTTTTTCACACAAATGGCAACTTGCCCCAATTTCAATTCTTTTACAATAAATATTCAGTATTTTAATAAATTTCTAAGACAGTTGGTCAAATATTTATTCAGCATTACAGGAAAGATGTTCTGGTAGACAATGAGAAATAAACCCACTACACCAAAATGAAAATTTATTTGGCTTCCTTATAATATAAAAACTGAGAAATCATAATAAAAAAGGTAAATAGTACTCCTTTTTAAACCATTGTTTTCATTCAGCCTTATTTATGCCATTTAATTTGTTTAACTCAGAGCACAAAACCATCTGTGAAGAGGCTCAGAGTTCTAGGGTGAAATAACTATCATCACCGCTACTTTAGGTATTTCCAAATGTTTACTGTACAGACGACTGAAACAGTATTTTAAGTCAAAGAGAAACTCAGGGCATATGTAACATCAGCATAATGTCATTTAAGGTGTTTTGTCACTTCTAAGATCTCAAAGTTCAGGATTTTTATATTAATGAATATTCAGAAAAATTCTATGGTTCTTTTCTTGGAAACTTCTACCCTAATACTTTTGAGGCAAACATAAAGCTAGGGTTTCAAATAAAATGAAGTGTCATCTGTCAAAAGTGTAGATCATTGGGGACACAAAATATTAGAATGGATTCTTAGTTCATCTCTGGACACCTTTCTATAACTACTACAAAAATTAAAACAGTATCAACCAAATCAGGAGGAGGTACTTCCTCTTCAATTATGTAGTATTTGCGCTATTTTTCATATGCAATGATTTGTCACACATCATTGTATAAATATCCTGCTTAAACAATTATAAAGTGAACAACCATCTACCATATCTGAAACATTTTATCCAATTCAGTGTATTTGGGGAAGAGGGTAAACTTTTGGTTAAAAATTTCTAACCATACTATACTTACTAGTACTGAAAAGACATCATAAAAAACATTTTGCCTTAAAAAATCTTTTAAAATATGTCATAAAATCAAAAGTATGAATCAAAACAGAAAAGAAGTGGGAATATGTGTTACTAAGGGGAGGAGCTGAATTTCTCTTGGGGAAACTGTTGGTGATCATCTCAATAATTTACTGCTTCTGTCAGTATGCATCAAAATGCTCTGAGTTTTAGAGCAAGCAAGACAAACTATTACAACCAAAATTGGCCAGGAGTTACATCAAAATACAAATGAGAATGAAAGAGAGGCTGAATCAGTAAAAGTTAAGGGCAGTAAAGAATCAGAATGGCAACGTTGGCAGCTGCCAATAATTTGAAAGCTAAATGGGGTGTGGAGGCAGAAGTTTGATTCCTGTGTAAAAACAAAAGCTTAGGTTTCTGATGCTTGTATCTGAAAATTTCTGGAAGAAAAAGTCTTTGCGGTTTTAAAATAGATGAATCAAAATGATGAAAACTAGGTCAAAACACCATAAAGAATATCACTTATCCTCTGAAGCAGAATGACAATTCTTCATCAGTACAGAAGGGGAAAAAAATACGGTTTGCCCTATGCTGAATTTTAGACAGAGGTGAAAAATCATAATTATTCACACTAAATTAACAAGAGAAACATGGGTATGACAAGCTAAAAGAAAAATCTAGATACAGAATTATGAACCAACTTCAACTGAGTAATACATGTATGATAACAGATACTGGAAAAAATAAAAGTTTAAAGAATTATGACAGAATGTAGGATAACGGGCAATTTTGTCTTTTTACAAGTGTATTAGGGTTATAGATTGTCATTACAATTTTATACAGGAAATAAATTGCTATGATTTGACTGTAAAAAATTAAGAAAAAATTACTAGGCATTCAAAAAAGAAAATATGATAAGAATACAAAATGTGACCAGAGGGGAGAGGGAGGGAGTTTCAGGGGGAAAAGGGAAGGGTTTACAGGAACTAGTATAAAGGACAACTAAGGGGTGTGGAAATGGGAGGGACGTGGGGAGCACTGCGGGGTGGGCTGGGATGGGAGTAAAAGACAGAAAACTGCACTTGAACAATAATTAAATTTAAAAAGAATACAAAATGTAACTTAAATTTTTATTCAATAAGGGCGGAAGAAACAATGCGGACTGGTTTAAAACAAAAAAAAAGTTGTTTTAAGTACACAAAAATTAGTACAATTAATACTTTATCAAGAAAAGTGATCCCAAGTTCTTCTCTTCCCCAAAATGCTTACAAGTAATCAGAGCACATTAAGTAAATTGTTTTTCCTCAGCAATAAAAATCAATAAAACATAGAACAAGAAAGAAATTAACAGAATTCCCCAATATGGCACATGAATGACAAGTTTCCCAAGGACCCCCGAAACTCAAATTTCAGAACCAAAGAGAAGGGGCAGCGGTACTGTGCCAAATCCCAGAGATTTGGAAGAGGCCAAGAGCATTCGTCACCAGGGAAACCAGGGTCCAAACCACGCCGGTAACAAGGAACTGGGAGGCGGAAACCGGGCAACTAACTGGTGGTAATAACCTGAAGGCTTTGGCTAGGAAAAGGCGGGGGAGAAGAAAGGAGACAGACTTCAGCAGTAATCCCAGAAACAGTGTTGGCGACGTCGGCAGAAGCGACAGGTGTGAAGGCACCCAGGCAGAGGGCCTTCACTTTATTGGGGGGATGGGTCACAGGCCCCTCTGAGATCCTACGGACCGAGCTCTCCGAAGAGCAAGTAGCGAGCAATGTTTATTCCAGTTCAGGAGCTCCGCGACCCCTGGGTTAAACACCGCTGCCTAGGACGAGTGGGGACTGGCTGCCTGCTATTCCCACGCACGCACGCACGCACGCACTCCCATTCCTTCCACCGACCCCCACCGAAAGCTGGACTTCCAGGCCACGATCCACTCTTGTCCAGCTAACAGCTCCCTACCCGCAGCACCCAGCCCGCGCGAGGCGCCCAGCAGGAATTTTTTTGAATGAATGTGCTGACAGGTGCTGTGCTGCGCACAGAGATGCGCAGGTATGGATGCCCATAAAACAGCCGCTACGGTTTCTGAGTGCACCCACGTCCTTTTTGTGGGTTTTCACACTGACTGTGTATTTGCACACTTCACACTTTGAGGCGACCCCGAGCCACACCCCCCTTACAGAGGGAGTAGGAGCAGGTTAGCAGTTTGCCCTCCAGTAACCCGACCGGCAAGTCACTTCTCACCCAGGGGATCTGATTCTACAGCCAAGCTCGTGGGAGCTCCCACAGAAGTGGAGGCATTAGAAACGGTAATGGGGGGGTAATGGGGGGGACGGGGGGAGGCAGGAGCCTACAGTAAAAAGAGAGGAAGAGCCTTGGCGAACCCTTGCCAGTCATCAGAGGAGTGAAACGAAGGCTTCCCGGGGAGGCGATGCTGGCCCCGGGCTTGAAGGACAAGCAGGAATTCGCGATGCAGTCAGGGAGTTGGGAAGTGACTTTTTTCTTTCTTTTTTCTTTTTAATTTAAGTGGGGGCTGGACAGCTCTCCCCGGCCTTTACCAAGTGCCTGTTTCGTGTCCAGCCCCAGGCTACGACCAGGAGGGCTGGGGCCCAGAGGCCCCGGGACTCGGGGAGGAGGCTGGCGGCGCCGGGGCCGCGCCGGGATTGCTGCAGGCTTGGACGGCGAGCCTGCTCGAGGACTGACCTTCCCGGAGGTGCCGTCCCCCAGCACGACGATTTTCAGTTGCCTGTCCTGGCTCTCCTCCTCAGAGTCCGACATGGTGTCCCGGGAACCAAGTCTGCCTCCCCCCCCACCCGCCAAGGTAAAGGGAGGAAGGGAAGGAGGAAGCTCTGGGGGCGGGGAAAGTAAGAAGGGCGGCAGCGGTGGGTAGAACCCCTCGCCCTGGTGCCTCAGCGACCGCTGGAGAAATCCGGGCCGATCACTCCCCGGGCGCCATCTTGCCCACCCTCCCTCCACTCTGCACGCGGCCCGCCCCCTTCGCGCTACGTAGGACGCGCACGCCCACGTCTGCTCCAACCCAAGCCGACCCGCAAGCATCCCTGGTGAGCCGCCCCATTCTCGGGCCGGAGGTGGGGGAGACGTTCGTGGAGAGCGGGCAAGACACGTCGCTACCCTCGCCAGAGCAGTAGGAGGGGTGCAAAAAAAGTGTATTCCTAAAACTAAGTAGAAAAATGGACGTCTAATGGGTGTTTAGGCATTCTATCAAATTCTCTTGTGTCCATATACCCCAAAACTATCCCTTTGCAAATGGTGTGGCCCGCGTGGCGATAGCGGGGAAGGGCTGCGCGCTTTGGTTGCCATAGAAGCCAGGCTCGTTCTGGAAGGCGGCGGGGCGGGGCCTGTCTCGGGGCCAGGCCTGGGGCAGCACGCGGGGGCGGGGCCCTGGAGCTGGAACGACAGAATTTGATGTTTCATTCATCAAGCACGTACTCTTGAGCAGGAGTTGGCAGAGCATGGTCCAAGGAACCCTGGGGCTTGATAAAGTGAAAACTGTTTTCATAATATTACACCTCTTTTGCCTCTTTCATCTTCATTCTCTCACACGTATAGAGTTTTCCAGAGGATGCATGAGGTAGATGACCTCACTCTGGCAGCAGCTAAGGGAGCCTGTGCTTACTCTGTTTCAAACATTTCTTCGTATTACTATCCAGGCAGTAGTGACGGCTATAATGTAAATAAACAAAGCTCTTTGGGGTTATAGTAATTCTTAAGAGTGTAGAGGGGACCTGAGCCCCAAATTTTGAGAACTGCTACCCAGTAGGGTAGGTAAAAGACAAAACTAAAAATTTTAATAAGGTGAGATAAAATCCACAATAATAATTCTGACCTACCATGTCTGTCTCATTGTTAACTACTTGACATGAATGATCATTTCACTCCCCATGGCAACCCTAAAAAAACAGGGTGAAGTATACCATGTTACAGTTGAGGAGGGTCACCTCATCAATGGAGACTCAGAGGCAGTGTCCTTTGAGGAATATGAGTTTGAATGGGAAAGCAGGAGGGTGTAAGAGATGGCCAGCCAGGGGACAGCCCTGGAGTCCTAACTGCACACCTGTGCTTACTGAGCGTGTGCCCTGAGCCACAGTTTCCTTACCTAGAAAATAGACATATGGTACTACTACCCCCACAGAGTTGAGAATGAAATGTCCTCAACACCCACCCAGCAGAGGTGTCCAACCTGCACCCTGGCATGTGTCCCAGAAAGGCTATGAATGCAGCCCAACACAAAATCATAAACTTACTCAAAAACCTTTCTTTTCTGCTCATCAGTTTTCGTTAGTGTTTGTGTATTTAATGTGTGGCCCAAGACAACTCTTCTTCTTCCACTGTGGCCCAGAGACGCCAAAAGGCTGGACACCCTTGTAAAGGAACACAGCACAGTGCTTGGCACAGGGTAAGCACTCAGCATTAACCAAAGGTCGATCGCCCTAACCATCTGCCGCATGCTAGAACACCGCAGATCTCCAGCCCTGTAACCTTAGGGTTTCCTAGGGAGACTCTCAGTCTCTTTGTCCGTAGACAGGACTGGTCCACACTAGTAGCCACCCAGTTAGTATCAGTTACCACCACCAGCAATAACAACTTTCTATGTCACTGGGTGTATTGATGAGAGTTAGAAGAAAAAGGCATGTGAAGGGGCTTTGCAAAATACTTTGTAACTGTTAGTTTCAGGAATCTGTATCTAATAAGGATAGACTTTTGTCCATGAGAGAAGTTAAGGTGCAGAAACTTGTTTTTCCACTCTTCCTTAATGAAGAGGATAGTGTGACTTAGTTCTGACCAATGAGACAGAAGAGGATCTTTATTTGAACGAGGACATATGTTTGGAACTAACTGCTCACTCTTCAGTAGATCACCTTCCAGGCTTCTTGCTATGGTGAATAATGCTAAGGCACTTTAGTGATGTAGTCCATTATTTGAAGACAAAAAAAAAAAACCCTCAATTGTCACAATTATTTTGGCCATAAAATAGATTTAGTTATGGTAATGGGGCTAATTTTCATGCACAGTTTCATATGAAGGAAGATGCAGAGGAAGACTTTGCATTTTCCAATCATTAATTTCCTGAACAACTGCCTTGATATGGAGACATCATTTGTGTGGATATAGTTTCATCCCTGTGACAGTGTTGCTATATGAAATACAGAGCCAATTGCATTAAGTTAGTGACTATATTTTACATACCTATGGCAAGATTCCAGGTTGAAAATTAGATTTGAAGACTTGGAGCCATATTTGTAAATTTAAAAGAAATAAATATTCCTCTGTGGAGGAGTACCTTGTGGAGTACCTTGCTGGCTAGCATTGAAAGCTTCCGGTATGGTGCTTTACCATGCTAAAGAGAAATAAAGCTGATCCACAATAAACAAAGGTGTCTCTGTGGATCCTCTGTAAAATGCCCATGCAGGGCATTAAACTCAGGGAATCTTTTTCCATGTTCTTAAAACTAGCAAGTTAACAAAATGCTTAAAGAAGAATTCTAGGAGCAAGAAATTAGAGTTCTTTAGATATGAAGAAGTAAAAGTAATTCCACAAGAAAAACCTTGACTGCTATCTATGAAACCAACTTCCCACCTAATTTTAAAATATCTTTTCTGGAATCTGTAACATATGATAATCCAAATTTTTGTTGGAATACATGCATATTCAAGGAGTTTATTCCCAATGAAGCAGCTTGGACAATGGCCCAGTTATTAGAATATTCTGAGATGAACTGAAGTCTACCTTTATAAATTCCAACTAATGACATTGAGTGTACGTCTTCTGGAGTAAAATAGACTTCCCCATTATAATAGAGGTCTTCAAATCGATCCACTAAATTAATGATTGATTTGACAAACATTAAGTAAATGCCTGCCCTGTGCCAAGAATTCTTGGTCACAACTCTTCTAAGCAATGAGGACCCACATACAAGTGAGCAAAATCTGCAAGGGCTCTGCTTGTATGGAACTTGTAATTTGGTGGAGAGATGTAGTAGATTAAATCATGACTGCCCCAACAATAACAGGCCCTAATCCCTTGAATCTGTAAATGCTACCTTATTTGGGAAAAGTATCCTTCAGATCTGAGTAAATTCAAGAGTATGAAATAAAGAGATTATCCTGGATTATCAGGGTAGGCCCTAAATGCAAACAGATGCATCCTTAGAGAGAGAGGGGTGGATTTGACCCAGAGTGACCACAGAGGCAGAGCCCCGAGTGATGTGACAAGCCAAGGAATTCTCACAGCCACTAGAACCTGGAAGAGGCAAGGAACTAATTTGCCCCCTGGAGCCTCCAAGGAGAGCACAGCCTTGTCAATATCTGAACTTCAGTGAAACTGTGAAAGAATATGTGTATGTTCTTTTAATCTACCAGGTTTCTGGAAATTTTTTACTAATAAAAGGAGAAACAAATTTCATAAATCACACTTGAATATTTCAGATTCAGATATTTTTTTAGCAAACAGATGGTAGATGGGATAAAAACTAAAAATACCTGAATATTTGTTCAAACACTAAATAGATGGAGAGATGTCCCATGTCCATGCATGGAAACACAATATTGTAAAATATAGCAATTCTACCAAAAGATCTATGAAGTCAATGCAATTCTAATAAAAATTTTCACAGAATTTGAAATAATGCATATACGAGGCAAAGATCTAAGAATAATGGAGATATGACAAGAAAAGAAAGACAAATAACTTCCTTTACCAGATATCAAGACTTAGTAAATAATTAAAATATAGTGTATTTATTACTTCAGGATTATTATTATACTATTATATGTTATTTCATTTTTTAAAAGATTTTATTTATTTATTTTTTAGAGAGAAGGGGAGGGAGGGAGAAAGACAGGGAGAGAAACATCAATGTGCAGTTGCCTCTTGTTGCCTCTTGCACACCCCCTACTGGGGACCTGGCGTGCAAACCAGGCATGTGCCCTGACTGGGAATCAAACCAGCGACCCTTTGGTTCAAGGACTGCTGCTCAATCCACTGAGCCACACCAGCCAGGGCATATTATTTCACTTTATAGACAAATGGACCATTATAACAAAACAAAGAGCCACAAATTGGGCTCCCACATACATGGAACTCTGATATATAACAAAGTATATATGATAGTAGATAAAAAGGGGGAAAGGATCATAGCTGGAAACCATATAGGAAAAGACATAAAATTAGAATCCTATATTTCATCATACACATACCCACATGGAAAAAAATAAAATTCAGTGAAATTAAGATTCTAAATGTGAAAAACAAAATTTAAATAATTTGCAATGACTATGTTTCTTATCTTGGGATACTCATGGATTTCTTGAGCAAAACACAAAGAATTAATCATAAAGGATAATATAAAAAATGCATTTAAATTAAAAACTGCTCCATCAAAAGATATCATTCAGAAAAAAAAAGGTTAGAAGTCACCAAAACATCTGTTATTTAAGTCACCCAGTGTTGTGTGATGGAAGCCCACACTAACTAAAACAGATTTGGAACACAATTCCGTACATAGCAATATCTAAAAGAAAAATAAGTGGTATCTGCCTAATTTTTTAAGCATTGAAAAGAGACTACAATTTCCAGGTTTTCTTAAAGTATTATTAAACTACTATAATTAAAACTATGTAAACAGGCACTGGAACAGATACATGAATTCCTTCAAAAGAAAAATGGTCCCAATGTATGAAAAAATTAAGTGGATAGTAAATGTGGTGTTTCTAATCAATGGGAAAATGTGATGTTACTCATTGGGTGTTAATTTTTCAAACTGAATGTCTATCTCATTCCTTACTCACATAAAAGTAAAAATATATTTTTAGAGGAAGCCATAACAAACTAAAAAATGGGTAAATATTTATAACTTGGAGTGGAAATAGTTTATCTAACCATGGTACCATTTTCCATAATCAGTATCTGGCACTCGGTGAAACCTTGGTATGTGAGGAATAAGACTTTAG